GATGGATAGATAGATAGATAGATAGATAGATAGATAGATAGATAGATAGATAGATAGATAGATAGATAGATAGATAGATAGATAGATAGATAGATAGATAGATAGATAGATAGATAGATAGATAGATAGATTTTTTTTTTTAAAGCAAAGGTCTTTCTCCAGACAAATTCATTTGGGCTGTCAAATCTAGAATACAGTGAAATCATCATTTATTCCATCATGATGGACAACAGATTGCCTGCATACAGCTATGTTCATTTAGCATAGGATTAGTATACAAAGATAGTTGTGTTATTCTCAGGCAAATACCGTGGAGAGACGGTTATGTCACATGAGAAATTTAGCTCTGAGGTTTTTATAAATAGAGGCTTATATTTCATGCACTGGAGAAGATCTGAGCATAATATAAACAAATTTAAACATAATATAGTATTTTGGTGAACTTTGGGCCTGTCTTCTCACCCAGAGACTTTTGGAGACAGGTACCAGCAACACTGCATCCACAAAGGAAAAAGATGGAATAAAAATTGATGGATAAACATAATATGTGATCCATGCTGGCAAAATGAGTCACAATGAGGAGTTTTTCCAATATTTAGTTATTTTTAATTTTCAAATTCTAAATATCTTAAGTTGTAAAATATTATATTTTATTGAAATTTAGAGAATTTACTTCTGCTGGCAACAAGCTAGTTTTATTTATAAGCATGTTGGTTTGAAAGTATGAGTTTTTGTCTATATCAATCAAGAACTCCAGCCCAGTATTTAAAAAGGGGAACACCTAAACTTCACAAAGACACAAAACATGAAGGGATTTCCCATCACTAAAGCAGTCTGCAGAGAAATATGATACATTTATAAACTATTTAGACAAAGGTTTAATTTTAAAGACGTACTTGTTAGAAAACCTTGACTTTAGGAAGATTAGATGAAATGTATATATTTGCTTTATATTGCCGGGATCAATAGATTATGTCTTTGTGAGCTACCAGTAATTTTTACTTAAATCTAAATTATGTTAAAAAAAAAAAAAATAAATTTGTAGTTTCATTTTTTTTGCAATGCAGACTTTGTTCATTCCAACTCATTTAGTCAGTATGGGTCATATTAAGAATTAGCATTTAGAATAAACCACTTTAAGATTGTTCAATATCATAAAATCTATTTTGCTTTCAAATTAGTGCAATAGACACTTAATAGTGGTATGATAAACCACAATATTCAATTTTTAGAATCCATATTGTACTTTGTACGACCTTGATACATTTTGTAACACAGCTTGATAAATACACATTATTTACAAGTTTGTGTTTGGGATATTGTGTTCATTCACCCGCAGAGTTAAATAATAAAAAAAAAAAAAATGATGTTCACATTTTTAGTTTCTTCAAGACCAAACAATTTAGATAAATGGTCTTTTAAAAGTCATCTATTTGGGAGTCTTTCTAACCTTCCGCTTTTAATCTTTTTTTTTTTTCATCACAAATCAATGATGCACACCTACATGTCAGTTTGCTTTGTTCTAGACATGGCTCATCACCAAGAAATCATCCACATCTCTCACTGCCTTCTGAGACCAGCATAAGAATGGTGTCTTATACAGGGTCCTGCTTGTAATAGATAATTGCACCCTGGAGAGTTTGACCACTGCAGCCTGGGCCTCAAGCTCATACTAATGCTGCACTCAGTATGGTCTCTATAAAGCAACTCAAGGGCTTGGAGATACTAGGTAATGAGGGACGCTGAACTTTCTACAGTCTGTGCGCAAGAGTGGAACCTTTAGGTAAAGTTATGGGGGATTTGTACAAATTTTGTCCCTAGTGAACAGGAAGGTGATGCAGTTGTATAAAAAATAGCAGATTACTTTTGACCGTGTGGAATGCAAATCATGTCTTCTTGATCATCAGAGGTTTCAGTGTCATATAACAATAACAGCTGCAAGCGTTGTGGTACATGCACATGCTCCTGTGAGGCCACACAAGTGGAGTTTATACACAATGTTAATTATTTTCTCTTTATTTTAGCCCCTGCAAGTTTCTTCCCTTATTTGCAGTCTTATTTACAGACCCTTATCTCTCGTCTATACCTTTAGACAGCCTTGCATGAGAAGACTGGCTAATGTCGGCTATTTTACCCAATAGAAAGCTATATGTTTGCGACTTGACAAAATTGATTTTCCACACCAATAGTTTTTCCTCTTCTCATACAACGTATCACTTCCATATGGCAGTCATTCATTTTTCATACTCTCTTCCTCTCACCGGGAGATAAGCAGTTGGAAGGAAGGGAGAGCTGAGATTGCAGGGGCTACGACTTGACATCTTTGACTATGTGCATATATAACTACACTAATGCAGGGTTTGTGTGTGCGCTGGAGCAAGGAAGGTGGGTCGGCTGTCAGCAGTGCTCACTGGGGAAGGGTAAGAACCTTGTTGTTTATGTCACACCTCCTGCTAGCTGTGGAATTGTTTTGATACAGAGGTCTCTCCTCGGCCCTCCCTTGGGGCCCATAAACAGCTCACAACAACTCAGACAGCAGCTGGAGCATGCAATGAGACTGATATGCTTAAATATGTCTATCTTAGTGTTCCACACTTCAGTCTCTGCTAATTGGAAAATCTTGCAAGTCAGGAATAAAAATCTGTCATTGCTCGAGTAGTTTACGTCTTTAGGTCTGGTGTTCATTTTAATCTGGTCTAAGATATATTTGAGCGTGTCACCTTTTATGGAGAGGGGGAAATGAAGCTGAGTAACATACTCCTAATGGACAAATAATTAGTGTTTGTTATCATCGTACAGTATTGTACAGTAGAACAATCACATTCAAATGTGCATTGCTTTGCCTGTCTGTTAATTTTCTGGATTTATTAGCACTTGTTTGCAGACAGTAATTCATTCCTGCATCCCAAAGGCTTTTCAGTTGTTCTCTTAAGATGAGCAAAGGACATAAAGAAAACACTCTGCACAACATTTTCTCAAGAGTTTCTCAGTTCATTTTTCTTTTCCAGGAGTTTCTCTCTCTTATTTGTGGTTTTCCTCTAAGCACAAAGGTCGCTTGTTTTCAAAAGAAACCAAAATTATACAAATGCGTTTTTCTACTCTGGTAATCCATAACATGGTAGGAAGTGGTTCTAGTTCTCTTTATCTAAGGTCAATCTTTATTTAGGACAAAAACACAAACCCACAGACGCATTATCCCATTATCCGTATAGCAAACTGCCAGAGTCCTGAATGTTGTGGCATGTGTTGTGTCATAAGTTGCAGGAGTATTATAGTTGGCACTCATGTATGATAGGATTTTGGAATGATGCCCAGTACTTTTTCTTGCCCAGAGAACATTCTTTCATTCTCTAAAGAGCTGCATGTACAAGTACAAGATCGACCTCTTCATTATCCGAGTTTGTAATCAATACGTAACATTATACATTTATTGTAAAATTGGTAGCGAGTGGTGGGGCAGAGGTTAGAGAAGGTGGGCCTGTGATCAGAAGATCCTTGGTTCAACTCCCAGCTCTGACAACATCAAAATGTGGGTGGGAAAGGTGAAGCGCCCACAACTGTCTCCACCCTCTTTTGCCCCACTCTGGGTCCTTGAGCAAGGCCCTTAATCCCCACCAAATGCTCCCTCGGGTGCCCTACATGGGAGCTCTCTGCTCCACACAGAGGGCTGCAGTAGCTCGGTGGTCTGTGGTTGCGTTAGGAAGGACATTTGGCATAAAAATAATTGCCAAGTCTTCGTGTGACAGTTCGCTATGGTGAACCCTGAAGAAGGAAACAGACGAAAGAAAAAAAAAATAGTCTCAGAGGTTAGCGTGAGGATTTGTGTTGCCTAATGAGACTCCCTCTTGTGGTCTTTCTCAGCTCCTGCCACTCCCACCTGTTCCTGATTGTCCTTTCCCCAGGTGTTTGTCATTGTCTGTTTGTTAGCATTTGTATTTAAGTCTGCATCTCAATGTTCCCCGTGTCCACATATTGTCCTCCAAGACGTTAGGTTCTGTCTCCCTCCATGTCCCCTTGTTCCTTGTGCCCTCTGTGAGTATTGCTGCCTTGTCATCTTGTTACTTTTTGTTGATATATGTTATTATTCTTATTTTATCCTGCAAGTCCCCTGCTTGAAACAGCCATGGACAAAGTGGTTCAAAACATCAAAGTTCATGCTCAATAATCCATCAAACTGGTTGGCCCACTGGTGCAGTGGTTGGCCCACTTGTGGGACTGAGTTTGTTGTGGCTCCTCGGACTGATGAAGTCCTTTTGGATGGAGGACGAAACGTTTT